ATCTGAAGGGTCCTTGAATCAGATGAACCATCGTCCCAAATTGTCCCATCCCAGATATCATGGAGAAATCCATCATTACATTGATGTTCCTTCAAAACCTCTGCCAAGATGTTCTGATGTCAAAGAAGGCTAAGAAGTGTCTTTCCCAAAGGAATGTACAGAATTGTATCACTCCTTGGTTGGGCTAGGCAAGATGGAACATCTTCCATTTCATGCCATGGAACCTGTTGGAGGCAATACTCTTCAGGCTTTACATATTTGCATTCAAAATATTGGCTTTTTGATAAGAATCTTTCAGTCTTCTTTGAGTCAGAGAATATATCCAATACTTCTTGAAGTTCTTCCTGAATATCTGACAAGCTCTGCTGGAATGTAGACATATCTGAGAGGGGGGGCACAAGCATCATAATGCGCTGGACTAATGATGAGTATATGTCCTGAATTTCTTGACATACAGCTCCCATAGCCTGATTAGTTAAATGGTGCTGATCCTGAAGTTTCAATAAACCTGCGACTATTTCATCTTTATGTGTGGGACTGCATTTTTTTAAACATGGTGGATTGCTTTCCAATTCATCAAGGGAATCTGGTAAATATCCTTCAATCATCTCAGAAAGTCCCTCTACATGACTCAAGACCCCACAGTCCATGTAACTTTTCTCATCTGTATCTTTATCCAAATGTGATCCAACTTCTGTTGTGAAAGATGAAATGTGATGCATACATGATGTTGATGATGATTGAGTAGCTTTTTTAATAGTCATCTAAGGTTTATGATCTTTCTTCAAATGCCTCTTCAGACTCCTTAGGTTGGTGTATTGTTTCTCACAGTTTTGAATGCCACATTTAACCAAATCAAGTTCATGTCTATGTTCTTCTCCTAGATGCTTCAAATACTTAGCCTCAGGCATCAAATGCACTGAGCACATGCTACACTTGTAGACAACATTGCCTTGGGCCTCATGGATATATTTTGCCATTAATTAAATTTTTGGAGGAGGAGACAGGGTTCAAGAAAGTAAGTAAAAACATAAAGAATTCCTTTCTAAAAAGGAAAAAGTTACAATCATTTATTATATTTATAGGAGTGCCAATTCATGAAGCCTTTTCTGTCAATCTTTTCCAAGCCTGCCTGATACCCTATGTGAAAGCTGGTCCAATATCTCTTAAGTGACACTTTCTCATCATGCATGCCTTATGCAAGCTCAGAATTCCTCCATGTTAACAGAATCAATCATAATGGCATCTCCAAGAATAGTCCATACATTCTCAATTGAGAATACAGCATGGGTTTGAAGAGATCAATGTGCTGTCACATGAAAAAAAAAA